ACGTTTAAACGGACCTGTAAAACGGATGTTCTATGTGTACGCGCCGTCACTCTGCGTATCCCAGTTATGCTCATGAAGCTCCGGTATAAAGGTGTCATCAATATCTTCAGCCTCCGAACCGCTAGAGTCTTCACGATCTATCCACGACATCACAGTTTTCTCAAAATCGTCATTCCATGGCACTACTGTTCTCCTATTTTTTGCTATTTGTTGGTTATTATTATTACCGAGAGACCGTTTGCTCCCGGACGACGTACTGGGCTCCATATTGTAAAAATCTTCAAACTACTGCAAAATTAGACGATAACTAAAACGAAACTATTTACAAAAAAAGTAACGTAAATACTGAGGTAGGGTCTGAGAGGCCCACGAAAAATTTCAAAATTAATTTACGTTTCGTATAGCGCGCGCAAATACGTGTACAGCCGTTGACAGCCTCGACGCAACTAAACTCGAAGGTACTAGAAGGTATGCATGTGTCGTGCGCGGGGGAAGGAAGTAATTCAACAATTTTACTTTCTCAAGGCCCGAGAGGCGCCCACCTCAGTAGTTAAAGGTTAACTAACGATATTATTATTTTTCGTGTTTCTTTTTTATCTCAGTCTGTTGGCTGGTTTTAATTATATTAAATGTTATATTTTGTTGTGGCGACAACAATAAACAATATCACTGAGAGAAACACATCAAACACTAAGCAAATATTTCAAAGTAGTAAGAGAGATAAATGTCAAATAAAGTAAGGAGGCCGGTTGCCACATTGTCACATCTAGTTGATGTACCTATAATATGGTTTTATTTATTATCTAGTGTATACTTATTAGCACTCTCGCATGTCATTTGAGGAAAACATGATTGGCTTTGTTCTATTTTTAACCGACTTCAAAAAAAGAAGGAGGTTCTCAATTCGACTGTATGTTTTTTTTTGTATGTATGTTACGCAATAACTCTGCCATTTGTGAACTGATTTTGATGATTCTTTTTTTGTGGGAAAGAGGGTACCTCAGAAGTGGTCTAATTTGAAGAAAATATTCGACCTCCAAGAGTGGTAAACTAGGGAATGAATGACTTTTGAGATCGTTTTTTTAAGTATTCTGTACTGAGGTTAGGTTATTTAATCATTTAAGCAATAACCCAGCAAAACTGAACAATTACTCGAAAAACCTATGTACATACAACGCAAGCGCTCTCCTACTTACATTAAGTATACGTTTCGACAAGATCATCGATTCTTTTTATCGACTATTTGGTGTAAATCCCTATACATATTTCGTTTTACGCATCCAGTAGTTAAGAGTAAAGTAGAGCTTTAGAATCGCTGACGTCAGAACTCTCACTGCAAAGTTTTAAAGTTAGAACGTTATTAGTTTTCGAAATATTATTTTTTGAAAATTCGTAAAAAAAAACTTCAAAATCATATATTTTCGCACCAAATGCAGATAGAGCGGAGTGAATAATATGGGAATGGGGGATAGAGGAGGGGAGCCTCCCTACGGAGTTTCAAATTTAGAAAATGAATAGTTTTAGAGATATTAATTTATACTCTGGAACGATACATTTGACCAAAACATGTCTAGAAACGCATTAAATTCTAGAAACTCACCGGCCGCTTCCGCCGCTTGCTCGCTTCGCTCACTCGATTCGTGCGGCTTTTTCATATACCTATCCTTTTTTTTTTGTTAATCCAGGGGAATCTGGTTACAAGATACCCCGACCCCGCGGGGGCAGAGCCGGGGTTATGTGGGACTGGACTGAACTCTGAAGTGGGGCAGCCAGACCACACTAAACCCCCGGAGTGTTCCTCCTCTCCGCTGTAGGTGGGGGTACGGGTACGCTATTCCACTCGTCCGCGCCCCCACAAAGCGCCCCGAGAAGGGAGACACATCAGTCCCCCGACTCCGAATATGAGGCTCGCCGAACATCAGACGGGCCCTTCTCTATGCTGGGCAACGAACTCCCCCGAGTCCGCTACCCAGGGGCCAGGACAGCATCTACTCAACCGTGAAGCTCTAACCGGCCCCCCTACCGGCCCCCAAACGGGCCTCCCAACCGGCTACCAAACCGACCCCCCAACCGAACCCCAACCGACCCCCTAACCCATATTCGTAATGACACTTTTATTCGGTACTTTCGGTTTTAATTGTTAGTTTCAATTGTTTCTTAGAATATCTAAAAAAAATAATTGAAATTAAAACCAATTCAATTGAAATCAATTGCAATTAATTTAATTGCAATTGATCAAATTAATTTGCAATTAAAATCAATTGCAATTAAATTAATTGCAATGAAATTAATTGCGACGTGTCGCAATTGATTTAATTGCAATTGATGTCAATTGAATTGATTTTTTAATCTGACTGAATTTCTGATTGAAATTTAATTGATTAACGCCCAACAATGTCGAGGGGTTCATATACCTAACCTAACCTAACCTACTGGGAGGGGATACACCTAAATATGACTGGAATGATATATTTGAACAAAATATATTCAGAAAGGCATTAAATTCCACCATTTTCCAGAAAACTATCGTCAGCGGCGAAAGATTAATAAGAATGATAGATAACGCAGATAACCTAATAAGTATAAAAAGTGTTTATAAATCATCAACATCAACCCATTTAGACGTTCCTCTGCTGGCCACGGGTCTCCTTTCAGACTAGGGTTTAGGCCATAGTCCGTCGCGCTGGCCCAATGCGGGTTGAGGACTTCTCGAGGGTTGTGAACCTTCTTCAACGTGCCGGTTTCATCACGATGTTTTTCTTCACCGAAAAGCTCAAGCTAAATTTAAAATTAAATTTCGCACATACATTCTGAGAATCTCAGAGGTGCGAGCCCGGATTCAAACCCACGACCCTCTGCTTGAGAGGCAGTAGGTCCCTTTAGGACCATTACGCTACCACGGCTTTTTTTTATAAATATAAAAGGTAAAAAATACACTAAATGAAATAAATATACTTTGTAAGTAGCTGAAACACTAACCCCGGAAGGCCAAGAAAGAAAAAAAAACTATAGACGGAAACATGACGGAAATGATGTCGCGTTTTATTGTTTACAATACGAAATTGTTATTGTTTAACACTACTATTGTAAAAACCCCTTCTAAATAATGTTTAAAATTTAATACAAATATTATGAGTGTATAAAAAAACAAATAGAACGTACAAATATTTTGACAAATTTACAACACTCGATATCATGACAGTGAATATCGAAACGCAAGACATTACGTCGGCGTGCTTTTTTTTTACACAATTTTGGTAATATATAGTTGTCAAATGTGCTTTTTTGCTTCGATTTTTCGCGATTTTCAAAAATTCCGAAAACTGAAAATTGGTAGGGATACTTTTGACTAGATCTATTTAAAAAAAAAATTTGAACTCCCAACTCCACGTCAGCTATTCTATAGCTGAGCCTCTATATCAGAATTTTCAAATCGAATCGTCTTACAATTGCCGACGATTTACCCTTGCAATTTAATGTAAAGGAGAAATCCTTTGAAATCCTTTTTTTTAAGAAACATCAAACTCTGTTTAAAAGAAAATTGAACAGACGAGAGCCATTATAATGCCAAACTTCTTTTGAGAGTTAATGTTAAAGCTAAAGTTTATTGATGCTGGGATCATAAGAAGGCAAAAGCCTAGCATTTAGCACAACTTAACCATCACTGCGTTCGCTGAGACGAAAATTGCACTTTTATTATACAACAAAAGGTCGACTAATAATTTTTCAAAAGAACTAAATAAGTTAATACGAAGAGAGAGCCAATAGTATACAACAAATAATAAAAAATAAAAGTTTAAATAATAAACATTAATAATAAACTTTATTATTAGATAAAAGTTTAGCATACGAAAAAAAAAGTGCTCTGTTATTGCTCTGAACTTAGCATGCGCATCGGTAAACAAGATTAAGTTACGTGGTAATACGCCGTGGTAATTTATTACTTAGATTAATATTTTTAAGGTTAATAGTCGTAGTGTAGTGTAGTAGTATCCAATTGCTAAAACAAAAAGCATTCAATTTTGGGTAGCACTGGATCAGCCAGCTCACAGACTCTACGATAAATTGACTTTATTTTCTTTTTCAAATTCAATCAATAAACCAAAACAGATACGAAGCGTTTCAAAAAAGTACAAAAGTAAAGAGGTATTTATGCTTAGCTTTCTGCTGTTTATTTTTCGTTGGAAGTGGTTCTTCATTTTACCGTGGCTTTTAAAAAGGGTAAAAATAAGTTATTAAAACCGCTAGCTGCCAGTTGCTAAAAAGTAAAAATTAAAAAAGAAGAGTAAAATTTTGGAAGATTTGACATCACATTGTGAACAAAGCCTATCAAAAATGAAGATACCACGTGACCTGTGTCTCCAATTCCTGGGCCGGACATTCCTGTGCTGTACATTCTTGTGTTGGACATTACTGTGTTGTACATTGACGGCTCCCGGACGGACGATTTGTTGTTTATTATTCTAAAGTATGATTACAAAAAACTAAGGTTAATTTAATTCTAAAGATATGTTTATTGTTGGAATATGTGTACACCTTATGTTTTTGTTTTCTATCTTTGATATATATTTTAAATCGCCAATAGTGAAGAATGTAGTGCTTTATCACCCGCAGCACGAGGCTGTTGCCGACCGGCTGGTTCTCTTCGTTGTTGATGGCCTGAGGGCAGAGTCATTCGTCAACTATACAACAATGCCATATCTTAGGTAATAAGTCTATAACTTATTGTGTTTTGAAAGACCAGTGTGTATTAAAGCGTTTAATTTAAAGTATATACTTGGTGAGACCAAACGAAAGCTATTGAACCGGAAAATTGTGGTCTATGTAAAATAAATTATTGAGTACTGAGTACTACCTCTAATCAGAAAATATTTCCTCGGTAGACAGGTAGCTCCTCATCAGAGTGGTGGAACTGGTCTAAATTTTAGTTTTCTATTTTCCAGATCTATAGCAAACACACATGGCAGATGGGGCATTTCAAATACCCGTGTACCAACTGAATCCCGACCTGGACATGTAGCAGTCATTGCAGGATTTTATGAAGACCCATCAGCTGTAGCTAAGGGTTGGAAGGCAAATCCAGTGGACTTTGACTCAGTTTTCAATCAAACTAGATTGACATGGTGTTGGGGAACTTATGATATTGTAGAGATTTTTACTAAAGGAAGTGTTGATGATCATATTGCTATTGAAACTTTTGATCCTTATGAACAAACATTTAGTACGGATAAGAACACTACTCTTTTAGATGGCTGGGTATTTGATAAGGTTAAACAGTTCTTTAAAAGAGCGCAGTATGATGAGGAGCTTCGTAATAAGCTACATCAGAGTAAGATTGCATTTTTCCTACATTTATTAGGAACAGATACATCTGGGCACACGCATAAGCCTAAAACACAGTGAGTATAAATACTTTGTTATATTGTTTTACTCTACAAACTGCTACTACTACACCACAAAATTGGCCTTATGCTTTGATGTGTGAACACCTGTCTTACCATCTTCTCTTACCATTGCCTAATAATGACTCTGCCCTTTGTACAATATTATTTTAAATTTTTCTTATAATTTTTAACGTGATTGCAGATACAGTCATTGTAAAGTTTTTCAAGCTTCAGAGTTTAATATAGTGATGACTAATAAATTTGTGACAACTAACATAGTACTATCTCAAAATGGCATTAATTTATATTAATATTACCTATTTAGTTTTAAAGCGACAGTGTTGTCCTGTCACTTTGAAATGAAATCGTATATGAATGACACATCAATATAGTGAAATTTTGGAAATAAATTGTTAATATAATGCAAGTTTGAGATAAAATATAATATAATGCAATTTTTGAGATAATACTATGTTAGTTGTAAAGTGCCATTTGTAGCTATCTAGCAATAAACTTACTATTTATTATTACATAGTGACTGTTTATGTTACAGGAACTTTTTGACAACTATAAAGTTTGTAGATGAGGGAATAAAGGAAATAGAGGGAATCATAAAAAATTTTTACAATGATGATGGTAGAACAACATTTCTTATGACGTCAGATCACGGAATGACTGATTGGGGTACAATTGTTCATATTTTAAATAAAATAATAATATATAAGTATAAAAGCTTTAGCAAATGTTTTGTTGGATCATGTTACTACCAGAATATAATTAATTTTAAATCCTTACATGCAAAATGTGTGTTCTTGAGGCAGTAATATTTATTTAAAAAAGTAACTTCTTTGTTTTTAGCTTTTCCTTAATTGTCATGTTTGAGACTTCTTTAATATTAATAACTTTGTCAACCTATCCTCTCTGCCCTTCTGATGTCAGTTTTTATAGACTATTTTAAGCTCCTTGTGAGAATTAAAATTGTATATTTATATAACTTGACGTTGTTATCAAATGAGTTACGCACTGTGTTATAAATTTCCTAATATATTTGTTTACAAATTGGTTTTTCTAATACAACATTGTATAACAGGTTCACATGGTGCAGGGGATGAACACGAGACTCAAACTCCTTATGTTGTATGGGGTGCCGGTGTTGAGCAAACCAAAAAGGGTTCATTAGATCCTCAAACAAATGGCATGTCTTTAGATCACAGAGTAGATATTAATCAAGCTGATTTAACACCACTCATGTCTACTATTCTATCTATACCAGTTCCTGTGAATTCTGTTGTGAGTATTCTTTTTATTTTTTTTAATTAGTGATGGTTAATAATTCGGTGACATCATCAGCCCAATGGTTTGCACTGTGGCTGCTGGATGAAAAGGCCTGGGTTTGACTCTCGGTATGACCAATTTGGGATTTGAACTTTTCTAAACTATTTCTGACCTTAGTGTGAGTCTGGGTTGTGCCTCGGAGTGAATTCCTTTGCGGTGTGGTTGTCTAGCACCTTATGAAAAAAGTATTGTGTAAAAAAAATGGACTTTGAATAGTTGACAAATTCCACCATTTGTTTTCTTTTTCATAAAATGTATTCATTAATTTCAGTTACACAGCATGTTATTTTTAAATGAGACAGTATGGGGAACTCCGAAACCATAGAAGATGGAAACTGTCTTAGGAACCATTATGATTTATTTTGTGAAAACAATTTTGGCATATTAAATTTTTTGGTCAAACGTGAGTTGTTCATAAAAATTAATAAAACTATTCAAATTAGTGCTAATCGACTTAGTTTCATGAGGGGATCATTTAATTATATGGGATGAAAAAAAAAGTGAGTAGTCAATTTTATTAATTTTTTTATTTTCTCGTCTCGTACAATGAAATGATCGACTCTAAAACTGAACTTCAACACGCGCTACTCGGACAATATGTTACATCGACATGATTTTACTCAGACATTACGCTACTCCGGCAATATGCTACTTCGACATTTCTTTACTCAGACACTGCGCTACGCCGACAACACACGATTTTACATCGATTATGTGATTTTGTTCTTTTTTGTTATATTGATCGATATATAATAAAAAAGCATTTCCTACATGGGTTTGTAATGATGATTTTTCTTGTCTGAGTACAAATATTATGTTAAGAAACATCTCGTCTGTGTTGTCGAAGCAGCATAGTGTCTGAGTAAAATCGTGTCGATGTAACGTGTTGTCGGAGTAGGGTAGTGTCCGAGTAAAGTATTGTCGGAGTAGCGTAATGTCTGAGTAAAATTATGTCGATGTAACATATTGTCGGACTAGCGCGTGTCGATGTTCAAATTTAGAGTGGAAATGAACACTTCATGAAACTGAATCGATTAACACAAAAAAAGATTTTTGATAAATTTTATTCATTTCTATGGACAACTCACGCTTGACCCAAAAATTGATTATGCCAAAATTGATAGAAAAAAAAGACTTAATGGTTCCTAAAACAGTTTCCTTGTATATAAAGTCCCATTAAAAAAAACTCTATACAGAACCATGTTAACACAAAAACTGAAGTGTTATTTTTATTATAGTAAGTAGTAGAAGTTTTTCTATAAGACTTAAAAAACTTATCTTTTATTTTGTTCACAGGGCGAATTTAAAACAGATTTACTAAATATGTCACTAGCAAACAAAGCAAAAGCTATTTACAGCAATGCAAGACAGCTAGCTGCTCAATATAATAAGAAGAGACTTGATGTAGAGTCTCATGTCCTACCATTGTTATACTATCCATACGACCCTTTCAAAGAGAAAAATTATAAAGAAATGATTTCTTTTACAGAGATGTTATTAAAAAACGAAAATTATGAAAACCTTATACAATTTAGCAGAGAAATTATGGCCTTAAGTCTGTCAGGCTTAAGTTATTATCACAATTATTATCAAAAACCTTTATTAATTTTAGTCACACTTTCATTTGTTGGATGGATAGCATGTTTATTGAAAGAGTTATCAGAACAGAAAATGAATACCCAAGTGGGGTCTTTAAATATGCAGAAATATTATTTAAATAGTAGAAATGCGAAGATCAAATTAGTTGTTAATGTTATGTTTTCTATTTGTTCATTTACTTCTTGCTATCTTGTTTATGGTAAGTATAAACATTATTTTGAAGGCTGTTGTTTGTGACAAACTGTAAAATATGTAAAATAGCATTGATTCAAAACAAGTTAAATAGAAAAATAATAGTTTAAATGACAACACGTAACTTCAATGCCACCGCCTGTCTGTCGATTATTCGGCTCTTGTACCATTAACATTATCAATACATTGCTTTTAAGTTATACCTAGACAAAAAACATAGCCAATAAACTTTTCGATAAACTGATAAACAATATAATACTTGTAATTTCAGCACAAAATTTACCCGTTCAGTATTACTTATACTTCACAATGCCAGTATTTATGTGGTGGTATGCCTTAACGCCACTTACAGTATGGACACACACACTCAGACAGTTGAAGATATCCAGCGGATTTTACTCATTGTGGGTCCAAGTCTTTTGTTATACTCTGGGATCTTTAGCAATGGTCAGTAAATAAGATGTAAATGCCTTATATCTGTTTTTGAACTCGCTAAATTCAAGAATAAACTTTAATTTTTTTTCTTCACGAGAATCCTACAATATATTATAGATTATTTGTTCGTAAATAGTGTTTCGAGACTAGCTTGATTCTGGCAATTCTTTACATAATATTGGAAGATAGAGCCTTCTATAGCTAAAGCTCACCCATCAATTGACATGTCCCTTTTGGACCCAGTTAGCACTAGTGTTGATTATAAATATCAGTGTTTATGTTTCAAATGGGTTCTTTATATAATCTGCAACTTGATGAAGGTCCAATTCGAGTCTTCAAGTAATTTTTTGTATGTAAACATTTACTCTGCTACAATAAAGCATATTTGTTTTTACATGGATATGTAAGATATTGATTAGGTTGTGAAGGGATGAGATTCATATTGCTCAGAAGATATTAAATTTGGAAGATGGCTTTAACGGAGTGGAAGACCAAAGCAAAGATTGGTGGGTTGCGTGGCAGAATAAAACTATGTGAAGGGAATTGAAAAAGAAACGTACTCTGTCGACCCCAAACTATAGGAAAAGAGCAGGTAGAAGTTGACGTAAGGCATAGTTAAGTGCCTATTTGATATACATCTAAATTAATGTTTTTCTTTTTTAGGGTTTGTCTTTTACACACAGATGGATGTTAAGTATACCTTTCATAGGGATGGGGATATGGCCTTTTTCAACATCGTCAAAGAGCTATTTACCAAAAAAAATACTTAACCTTTGGCTTGCCGGATGCATATTACTAAGTTTGTTTTCTTTTATGCCTGTTGTTGGAAAAAACGTTTGCATTGAACTAGTGTGAGTATGAATTGTCACTGTACTGTAGGATGACATCCAGCGAAAGGCGAGTCGCTTGATACAAAGTGAAGTCAGTCTTGGATTTAAAATCTATACTTATAACATGACCGTCTATTATTTACAGTTAATGTGGCGTACATTTTATAAAATTATCTGCTTATTGCAGCATTACAGCAGGACTCATATGGCTTATAGTAACAGCAGTGTATCTCTACAAAATATTATTACCTTTATACCATGAAGCTAACGAAACTAAAATTGAAATAATATTGGCTGTGATACAAATGGTTTATCTGGTAGTATCTCTTCAGAACATTTACGTACAATCGAAGAGATTCGAAATGGGTACACCTATTTCTGGAGTGTATCAAGCTATTGCTTGGATTATTGCAGGTATTCCTTTAGGTCCAATATTATATATGCAGCGCGATATAAATTTTATCACCGAATTATTGGATCATCACAAATAACGAAATATCAATCGAAATGCTCTAATAAATTGCAGCTGTTCTAAGACTAAACTTTTCCATTTCTTTACAGTTTCGTCTCTATTGCTACCGCTATTTCATTCCAAAAGACTGATCTGTAGACTGTTAGCGTTATATACTTCATTATTGAACTTTTATTTACTCCTCTCTGTCTCACATGAGGGACTTTTTATGGTCACACTAATCGTTACTGTGACTTGTTGGATTTTTATTGAATTTAGATTACTTCATTTAGAAAAAGTGAAGGTAAAGTTATATTTTATATCAGTGCCTCTACCATGAGATTACAGTGACAGTTATCGCTAGCGACCGCGCAAAATGTTTATGTACAAAATGTTGTTTCTTCTCGTGACCGCTACAGACGCTGTATTAAGTGCCACACAAAATTGTGACACACGAAGCGGTTTCCAAGCGCACCTGCCGCGCTGCGGGACTTTTATTTCAATACTCAGACACCGCCGCCGGGGTTTTGGGAACAGCCCGCAAACTTGGCAGATGATCGCAAGTCGCGCGGTTATTCACGATCGATAGAGATCGTCGCGGGCGAACCGACCACAGTGCACGGGTGCCGACCGCCAAGCGCGCGGGTGAGCGCGTCTCGCGCGGTTCTACTACTACTCTGCGGACGTTACGGCTACCGCAAGTAACCGTCCTCACCACAGGCGTAAAACGCACCGTGGAAATGTGCTACTAAATTTTACATACATACCTACATTCTACGGAGGTCGCGGTCCCGCAACCACGGCGGGCGCGGGTGAAAATGGCTCCGTGATTTCTTAGCATTATAAGAGTAAACTCGTGGTAGAGGCACAGTATGTGTGTAATACATTAAAACATTTAACATTAGGACATTTTTCCTTTACAGATAATAGAGTGCTCCTTTCATAATGACAACTTTGCAGAGACTAGTGGAAAGTTGCTTGCTGTAGAAAGGAGCATAAGCAACAACGATTTCCGGAGAGCATTCTTTTTTGTATCCTTTATTATATGAAAATGTTTCGTTGTTGAAGAGAATACAGTAGAAAATTAGCATTGTATTATGAATTTCCTTAATTCGAAATTCAGACACTGTTCATTATTTTAGCGTTCTTCGGAACTGGAAACATAGCTTCACTAAATTCATTTGAAATAAGATGGGTGACATGCTTCGTAACATCATTTCAACCTTTTGTAATAACTGGTCTCATTTTACTCAAAACTTTAGCGCCTTTTCTAGTTGTTGCCTGCAGTTTTCGAACAGTACAATATTTAACAAAGGTATATTTTTACTTTTAATTCGTGACGTATTTTGATTATTATTGATACTTATCAAAACTTTCGTTCGTTACCCAATGCAGTAGGGATACTGCATTGGGTAACGACGGAGAAATACTGCGCGGCATCCCGCGCTTGCACCGGGTATTTGTATGAAATTTCGCGGCTAGACCTAAACCAGAATACGGTAGGCGGTATCTTTTCGCTTGCTTTGCGAAAAGGTAACGCCGCACGATGCGAGAGCAGTGGCAAATTCATGCCTCCGCACACCCTGCAAGTCAGTTAGTAACGATACTTGATATAATATTAAATGATAATGAATAATGGATTTCGGTGTCCACAGCGGTAGCGAATAACGCCTGTATATGATCATATATATATATATGAATATATATATATATATATATATCATGGGTACATAAATGGAAGTCGAAATTTGTTTGAATTTACAAACTGGGAGTTAAAAAACCTTTGTGGTCGTAAATAATTCGAACATATTACATACATATTTGAGCTTATACAGACATATTTCTTTAGTAGTAGTTTCATATGAAAAAAAGAAAAAATTAAGTTGTTTTTAAATTTTCAGGCACCCACTGGTTATCTAAACATCATCGTGTTAATATATTCCAATATAATGGGCATTCAGCTTCTATACAACGTGAAAAATACTGGAAGTTGGCTAGAAATCGGAACATCGATATCGCAATTTGTAATAGTTCAAGTTATAACCTTATTTATAGTGTTGATCAATCAACTTGCAAAATTATTGACTGACACCAGTATTTATAGTTTTGCACATAAAATTTATAAAAACAGAAAGAAATATGCTTAAAAAATGTGTTTTATTTTGTGAAATAGTTTTATACAGGTAATGTACACTTTACATGTACAATTCAAAGTCAATTCTATTAGAGCTATAGAACTGACTGTCTTCTCCGTGCTTCCTTGCCCAAACACCAGTTTTGAAATATCCTTCAGATGCCCATTTTTGCATCTGGTGAGTGGAATGTGGTCCTGATATCTCGGCTTTATCATCTTGACTCCATTTGAATTCCCACTTCACTTCATTATTGTGTGCCTCCGGCTCTTCCTCATTATCTTTGGATGCAGACTCATTTTCAGACTTACCCTCAAGATTCTGCTTTTCTTTTTGATCAAAATCATCAGCATACATATCTAAATTTGCATCATCATTCTTTTTCTTATCTTTATTTAGTAAAGCACAAATTTTTTCATATGTCTCCTGATAGATGTCCATATTGCCGGTCTTGGTCAATATCTGATTTGCTAATTCTGTAACCCTGGTGACAATTTTGCTGCCATCATCAACAATGCCCGCCTTTTTTCGTTTCCAACGCTCGGCACTGGATATTTTTGATGCAGCTCCTGGAAATGCACATTTTAGAACAACAAAATGATTTATCGATATTTTTTTTGTTTTATCGATAATTATCCATTCTTGATACTAAATTCATAAAAGAACAGAAAAACATTGAAGTTTCCATAAAAATATTCCATATGCCTGATAGAGCAAATTGTTTTGTATGGGACTAGAAAAATGATTTCACGACTTGGCTATGGGTTCCTTAGAGGAATGCTTTAGTTTCATGGGTAAAGTTACCCCTGCATATACAATATATAGGATATAAAAGGACTTGCCCAAACGTTGCAGTGCTTTGGCAATAGTCTCCCTAGGCTTCATATGCTGGAATATTTCCTTATAGTTCTCAATTAAGTCAAATTTCTCTTCCATTTCTTCTTCATCACTACTGGATTCACCAAGACCTTTGTTGTCATCATCTTTATGTACTTTGTATTTGTCTTCTGGCCTCCCTTTTACCTTAACCCAGTCAATATTGTCAAGCCATCCATCTCTGATTTCTTTTTCTTTCTTCCAGTGATAATGGCCTTGAGTGTCAAAGTGACCCTCTTCAAGTTCTTCCTTCATGTTGAATGGTGTTATGGTAATCTGTAATTAAACCAAATGTTCTTAGTTTTGGTGCATTCGCTAAGAGAAAGGGCATCAAACTAAGGGTCGTATTGTAGAACTCTACTCAAGTCATGATTTGAGTATGGTTTAAAGCACTCAAAAACATACTCAAGTCCCTGCCATTAGGGTCGTATTTCCAGTGCAATCCTGACTTGAGCATTGAGTAGAGTTCTAGAATAGCGACCCTAAGATTAAGATGAAGAATAGACATATTTGGTGGTACTATTTGTGGCTATAGTTGTGCTGGTGTCATATATTTTATTAATTTGGAGGGTTGGTGGAAAAATAAACTGCATGAAAAAAATATTTAATACAAGTGCACAAATTAACCTTCACTGGGTTCGCGGAATAGCAAATTAATTTACTTCCATTTTTAAACATGGATTTCCATAAAGTAATGCCTATCTTTTATTTAGAGATTAATGGTAGACCGCCTGATAGCAAATAAGAGATTTTTTTTATGTAAAATTTAGAGAAGTGCAAAATTGAAAAAATATCTTTATAAAAAAAATACTAAATACAACTTCATTTCAGAGAGGTAAGTATCAGAAAGATGTGTATGTAAGTACATCAGCCAAACAAATTATAGTAATGGTAGATAAATTTTCTCAGCAGTCACTCAAAACGAACACTACATTTTTTTATTTTTATGATTACAATAATTTCAATAGCTCATAGAGTGAAGTTGTGCAGCACACCTTACTAATTCTAAGACATCGTAAACATGTTTAACTATTATCACTCACTTCACCTTCCATGCCTCCAACTCCCTCCTCTTCTCCTTCGATATCATCAGCATGCATCACATTATTCCGTTCTTCTTCAGCGCCGCTATCTTCTTCATCAGAATCCAAGGAGTGTTTTTTGCCTTCTTTCTTTGGCACCTTTTCTTTAGTCTCGTCGAGCTCGAAAGCTTCTGATGCTGGTCTTTTTGCCATCGTGCCCCTTTATGAAAAGCCACACAAATTTCCGAAAATCAATATTTTGTTCGCAATCCCAATTTGGCTTGGTTAAGGAACGTACACAGAAACGACGGAGAAAGAAATTACTATATGACAGGCCAGGCGAAGAACTCTAACTTGTCAGATAGAGTGGCTCCTGTTACACTACCAAACAAAGAAAAAGGATAAAATTACCTTTGCGAAAAATTAAAATTGCGATCTAGATAATAGCGATAACGGTAAGGCAAAACAACAACGTGTTGTCTTGTAATAATGTACATACATACACTACAGCACAAATTAGAAAGATTTAGTCAATACAGGACAAAGATTAGCTAGAGTAATACAGGAATGGAAGTACAGGATCAATAATTCAAGAGTACTTCAAGTTTGACACTTCAGATTTAAATTCAACTCTATGCCGCTTACATAAGAGAAGATTCGCTCTGGGCGCCACCTCAAATTGCAGATCCTGTTTGTGGCGGCCATATTTACAGAAACATAGTTAAACGAAGAGATGGTTCAAAGGACTTGTATTCAAGCCAAAATTATTAATAAAAAAAAAATTAGGAGAAAAATGGCGGGTTTTTGAAGTTATGAGCACAGTTTTTGCAAAGATTATTTTTATTTTTAGTATATTATGAAGAAAAAACGAAGAAAGAAACTGTTTCTGATGTGTGTTGATGAAGAAAGTTAGAACTATATTCCTTATTTTAAATCAAATTACAAAAGATTTCATCTTGAAAATTGCAATAATTACGAATTCAGAGTTTTTGTTCAAACTTATAGAAGATAATGTGATTTAAGTGAAAGTAAAACATAAATATTGACTCCCGCCGCTTAAAAGACTATTTAAAAAACCCAAATAAATGAACTAAGTTATTAAAGAGAAAGTGAAAACATATTGTATTCGAATTTGAACTAGAATGGAAACTATTACTCAGAATCCCTATAATTAAACGAAGACATGGCTCCAAGGGCTTATATCCAATCCAAAACTATTAATAAAAAAAGGAAAGTTTAGTCCCAAGGCTCCATCCAAGTGCCAAGCTTGATGAGCTCTTGTTTGTACCTAGAATAGCGATGTATATATTATTATGTAGTCCACAAATTAGAAAGATGTAGATATAGTGCGTTTCACATAGGATGGGGGCACATTTCGGGGGACCCCGATTCAGAACTCTTCGATGTCTTAACCGAATCGTTCGATTGGATATCGTTCTCGAATCGAAGGGCGCTGCGATACGCGGATACGATATCGTTATCCAACAGCGTTTACGGAGTTAGTCGGTGATATAGATTATAAGAAAAATGAAAATCCTTTTATGCGCATTTGTAAGACTTTAAAGATCTAAGGTTCTGAATCAGCCTTCAAACCGAAATGATGTCGCACCAGTACGATTACTTGAATTTCTGTTTCGGAAATGGCTACAAACGTTATTCCGAACACAGTTATCGAATAAAAGTTACCGAACGCCCTATTGTTTACAAAGCAAGAATGTAATATGACAATCTTCTATAATTTTAAATAAAATCTGGATTATGTTAAATTTTATTAATTTATTTTAATGCGAGACTAATGCGTTCCTATATTTTAGGCCTTTAAAGTCTTAATAATGTATATAAAAGGATTTCATTTTTGTTATAATCTATATTCGCCGAATAACTCCGTTGTTGGATAACAATCAATTTAAGCTTCATTGTGAAATTGTGAACACGACCTATTTCTTTTCGTGAACTGTCAGACAGATTCCACCAATAGGAGTACAGATCACGCAGCCAATCAGAGGCCGTATGCATCGGATTCTCGTGTCGCGCATTCCGAGCGTTACTGTGTCGTACATTACGTTGTTGGGCAATATAGGACTCACTGCCTGTTGTATTGTATTTTTATTGACAATCAATGAAAAAATTCTGTATAAATATATATTTTTTTCATCCTTTAGGATATATTTAGGTAAAAAAATCTTGTGGCAGTTGACTTCACAAGCCAGTCAAACTAATGAGATATACATACGTACAGTTTACGCAGAGGTAATATCATAGCCGATGAAGTTAATGACACGTCTTCTACTTATAAATTATTAGGCAAATTCTGTCAATGCAAAAATGTGTTACATTATAAATTGTATCAAACTGTTAGGGATAACTACGGTGTAATAATTAGCCTGAAATTATTCAGAAAACTTGCATAAAAATTGTATCAAACTGTTAGGGATAACTACGGTGTAATAATTAGCCTGAAATTATTCAGAAAACTTGCATAAAAATCGAGCAAAATTCAGATAAAAAGGCTTAATATTTGTACAGTTAGACATTTCTGGACGAAATCAATGTCGGAAACGCAAGAAATAGCTTGTGACTATCATGAAGACCAAAGGTGAGCTTATATCATATCGATTATTTAATAATTTTTAACAACTTCAGAACCAATACACGTCTCTTTTTAGGACAAATCAGCCATTTTGTCACATTTACACCATTGTGAGTACAGATACATTATCTTGAAAAAATTAAATATACACAGTTTTTAATAAACAATGATCATTAAAAATATTTTACGTAGTCTGTGAGTTTATTCTTTTTTAAATTAATAATTTTATAATAATGTAATAACATATTGCTAACTAGTACATTGTGCTGCAAGTTGAGCAACACAAAATGTGACTTTTTAAAATGCTAATTATAATATGGTATGTTTCTCTATAAAGAATATTGACACTTGTCTAGCTACCTACATGCTTGTTATCTTTCTTGACTCAGTGATCTTCCTATTTGACATCAAAAGATGGCATTCCAATATTTGGAGGGCCAAAGACTTATTCACTTTGTTACTGAAATGGTACCTGGATTATCTCAGGTAAACAGTTTTTGCTGCAAGATAGTTTCCCTTATTCTGTACTTGCTGGACCATTAGTGTTGTTGCCATTTTCCAACGGCAATCCTCTTTGAACAGTTCCCATTATCCACTTTACACTAACATTGCATTAATAGCTTAATATCATATGTTTTTGTAATTTACAGCTTCAAAGGAGAAAAGTTAATATACCCTGCTGCATCAAGAAACAAAGAGCCAATTCTGCAGGTTTTGAAAAGATTCATATTATGTGACAATGATCAATGTGATCATGAAGTTCCATTATTTTTGGAAGTAGCCAGTGGATCTGGTCAACACCTTGCACACTTTGCACCTCATTTCCCTCATGTGAAATTCCAGCCTACTGAAGTGGATGAGAATTTACTTGGCAGTATATCTTATTATGCACAAACTTGCCCAACAAAGAATATTTTACCACCAAAGCAAGTTGACATTTGTGCAAAACTGTCTAACTATGGTTTTAAAGAAAACAGTATAGACTACATTTATAACGCTAATATGATTCACATAAGTCCATATGAATGTACAATTGGCTTGTTTAAAAATGCAGGTATGTACTTGAAAAATGATGGCCTTATGATTACTTATGGACCATACAGTAAGGATGGTGTTATTACACCTGAGAGTAATGTGGAATTTCATGCATCACTCAAATCACGAAATCCATTGTGGGGCATTCGTGACATTAATGATCTTGTTAAATTAGCTGAACAAAATAATTTATCTCTCATAGACACTGTGGAAATGCCAGCTAATAATAAAACACTGGTTTGGAAGAAGGATTAATGCAATAAAAAATAAATGCTAATATTTGTAGGTTTTCATTTTAAAAACTAGGTTTACTACTGCTAACATAAATTAAAGTTTATGTTCTAGATTATTTACTTACCTAAAATGTCATAGACATAGCATTGAAAGATTCTCAGGTAAAAATTTTATGTTACACTTTTTGTAACTAAGTATTTTGTAATGTTTAGTAAGTCTTTGTAATATTTTTTAATATGTTCCTCTTGTTTATTTTATTACCAATCTATCTCTACTGAATAAAATAAACAGCTATCATTCTATATTATTACAAGTGTTGTTTTACACCAACAATTTTGGAACATTACCTACAATACAAGACTTTAGTATAATGCAGTCATAAAGATGTTTAATGGCATGTATTTAAGTGATCATATTAAATTTGCCAAAAGCAGCAAGCAAAACATTTAAACGGTCATTTATACAGGGTTACAGGAAAAGTCGTGCTAGATCCGTTAAGGGCGTGGAGTACTCATCATTTCTGACTTATTTTACTACGAAACACCCTACCCTAAACTTAACCCTTTTCGAGATATTTGACTTTTATTTTTTTTATTCAAAATTGCCGATTTTTAGGCTACTAAATTTAATTTTGTTTATTTTGTGTGTCTTATTATTATAATTATTGCATTTTTACA